TTGACCTCGAAGATCTTCCTCCTCTCGTGGCAGACGGGTGCGCAGGCGTTCGCGAAGATGGCGATGTAGCCCAGGCGCTCGCCCTCGGGCGTGCTGAAGTCGCCCTGTCCCCGGTGCGTGGAACCACCCATGCCCAGCTGCTGGAACTGGCCGTAGGCATGGCACGTCATGGTGGAGTGGTCCTCGCCCGTGCGCGCCTCGAGTTCGTCGCCCACGGAGCTCGCGGGCCAGATGCCGGCGGCGCCCGCCACGTGCAGGGCGATCCCATGAGCGATCCCGTCGGGCACCTCCCTGGCCCTCGCGGACGGCCTCCTGGCCTCCGGGCCCGCGCGCGCGCGCCCTCGACGGAGGCGCAGCGGCTCGAGGGCCCCTGCGGGCCGGTCGGCGCCCGGCCTCTCTGCGCGCGGCAGGAGCCCCGCCGCGGGCGCGTGGGGCGGAGGCCGGGGCGGAGGCCGCAGCGCAGCGGGCGCCGCGGCAGGCGATCGGCGCCGATCGGGCCCACAGTGCGCCCCACGCGCCGAGGGGGAGCGGACGCCGCCGCGGCCGCGCGCCCCGCCGGGCACGGCGCCGCGGGGGGGGGGCGCGAGGCGCGCGCCGAGGGCCCCGCCGCCGCCGCCTCTCTCGAGGGGCCCGGGAGTGTCCGGGCCGGGCCTGGAGCCGGGCTCGAGGCGCCGCCGCGCGAGGTGCGGACTCGCAGGAGCGACGTAGTGAAGGGGCCCTGGGACAGACACATAAATATACACACAAATCACCAGATTCCCCCATATTTTCCCATGTTATGTCTGGGTTTTTGTCTTCCCCCCACTTCCCATAGTTTCGCATACTTTCCTGGGTATCGACGATTCATTGTGTCTGTGTTTTTCCCCCTCCTGAAATAGGCACGTGGGCGAGGTGAAGCCCACGATCGTGTGACACTGGAGGCCGAGTCTGTGCCTCGGGGACTGGGAGTGGGCAGCCGAGGACAACACCACCGCCGTCCCTATTGACGCCTCGAGACAGAATGACAACTGCTCACGAGAAGGGTGAGGAGGCACAGGTGTTTGCGCGTGTGGGGGACCGGGAATGATGGGAAGGAATCAAGGCCAACAGGTCGCAGCAGGATAGAACCGATGTCTGCATTCAGCGAAAAAGTCAGCCTCAGTATCGTCAGCACCTGAGCAAAGACAACAATGGATAGCAGGAGTAGAGAGGAAGGGAGGGAAGACACGCACAGCAGGAAAGAGGAGCACAGGAGGAGGACGACCAGCATCCAGAGGAGGAGGAGGAGGAAGCAGGATCATAATGATGATGAGGAGGATGGGGCAAGATCAGGAGAAGGAGCAGGTGAGGACGATCAGGGTTCGGTGGCAACTCATGGGAGCCTCCCATACTATCTTGTCGGCTCTTGAGATCGACGCTGATCGACGCGAAAGCGACGCTAATCGACGCTACTTCGACGCTACTTGGCGCTAAACGACGCTAAATCCGCGCTGTCTCATCGACTCCCAGAGGCTAATCGACGCTAGTCGACGCTAAAGACAGAACCACGAGGGTACACAAGGTTCCCATGATTTGCTACCGAATCACGGGGAGGAGGGAGTGGAGGAAGAGGAGGAGGATGAGGATGAGGATCAGAAGGAGGACTCGGAAGGAGGCGGCGGGAGAAGGGCCTAGTTCACCAGCGACCCGGCGGTCACGCGACTCGCCTTCGCCACGGGCTCCTCAGGCTGAGCCCTCGCCTTGGCCTTCCGAATGTAGGCTATCATCTTGTCGGTCTCCTCGAGGAAGAAGAGGTGGAAGAGGGGAATACACGCCAGTCGGAAGAAGTAGGGATTAATAAACACATGAAGGAGGACAGCGTGTAAAGTAGATTGGGTTCAGGTTCTCCCATATAGTAAGACAACGCGGCAAACATAGATCGAGTATTGAAATAGGAAGACGCTGAAAGTAGGTTGGGATCTAGGAATCCAGCAATACCGACTTCCAATGACAGGCGTGTAGAGGGAGCAGGAGCAGGAGGAGGGGGGACGAGGGAGGACTAGAAGGAGGCCCTCCTCGTAGTCCTCCTCCTCATAGTCCTAGTATGTCCTTCTCCCTGGTCCTAGGAAGAGGTCCCCCTTCTCCTCAGGAGGAGGGACGGAGGAGCGAGGAGGGGTGTGTGTGTGTGTGTGTGTGTGTGTGTGTGTGTGTGTGTGTGTGTGTGTGTGTGTGTGTGTGTGTGTGTGTGTGTGTGTGTGGGTGGGGGTGGGGGTACGACAGTTCCCGCAGGCGTCTGAAGGCTTTCGGGGACTGTCGGACGCATCCTTCTGTTGTCTTTCCGCCTGGGGACCTGTCGACAGAGGAGGATCAGAAGCTGGACCAGAGTGCACCCAAAGAGGAATGCTTGACATCACGCTGGGCAGGGAAATGTCAATCATGCCTTGCCCGGTGGCCAGACGCGCTGCAGCGTAGGCAGACGCCTTGGCACGGGCGCGCTCTGCGATCTCGGGGGTCGCAATGCCGACGTGCGATGGCGTGGCGTATGCCGTTCCTGTTATGACTCCCACAAGCCCACTGAGCTTAGGTGGCTTACAGTAAGAGCTCGTCCACAAGAGAACCAACCCTGAGGCCACAGGATGTCCAGTGATTGGTGTGCAAACGTCACGCTTCCCATAACAAAACCATCGAAACGCAAGAAACCCAGGGCACCCTGGAGGCAAGCGGGGTGTTCCTTGGCGTGGGTCTCCACCCTAGGTTGTTTAGATCGTTTCCTCCTCGAACCCCTGTCTTCCTCTTCCGGGGTTGGCTTATCCCTCCACCCTACCCCCTCCGCTGGCGCTGGGACCAGGCTCTCGCAGGATGTCAAAGGGTCCTTTTTGGCCGAAGATGGCTCCGATGTGGCCCCAGACCGTCCAACACTGCCGCAGCAGTGGCGCAACAGAGCTCACGATGGGCACCCCAGAGGCCCCGAGATGGCCCCCAAACCGCTCCGCACGGCGGGCAAGGACGCCCTGGAGACCTCAGCTTCCGCCGGCGGGGCCCCCCCTCGTGCCACTCTCGCCGGCCTCCGCGGACCTCCCGCCGCCCTCCTGCGAGGAAGCGAGGTCGATCTCTCGAGCCTTCGGGAGCGAGTCCCTTTTTTTTCGGGCGTTCGCGCAAGGAGGGGGGGCCCTATTCACGGGAAGGGTGAACAAGGGTGCACGCCTGTTGTGGGCGTTCGGGGCCTCAGGGGGTCCCTTCCAGCGCTTTGGCAGGACACCATTTCTTCGGCCACGGCGTGGCGTGTCGCAGTCAGCAAGTACTGCGATGCCAAGTGATAGCGGCTATGTGCTCATGTGCGTTTCGTACTCAGCATCTGCTCGCTTGCTTGCTCAGGGGGTCCCGTTCGGGCATCTCTCCTGAAATGTCCCCATTCACCGCCCCCCCTCCCTCCGAAGCGCCAGCTCTCCGGAGGGCCCCAGGCGGCCGGGAGGGCTTCACCGAGCCCAGGATCGGCCCGGCCAGGATCGGTGCACGTGGAGGTGGAGGTGGAGGAGGAGGAGGAGGAGGAGGAGGAGGAGGAGGAGGGAGGGGGAGGAGGAGTGGAGGGAGGAGGAGGAGGAGGAGGAGGAGGAGGAGGAGGAGGAGGAGGAGGAGGAGGAGGGGCGCGGAAGGAGGGCAGGAGGAGGAGGAGACAATCGGCCGCGCTGTCCTCCGCGGGGCGCGGCCGGAGTGAGCCGCAGGCGAGGGAGGTCGCGCGGACCTGTGCTGTTGCCGGCCGCCCTCAGGGCAGCCGGCGCAAACAGGCGTGGCGAGTTCTTGCCGTCGCTCGGACGTCCCTTTCCCGTGCATTTTTCGGTTTCGTGCGTTGTTTTTTTTTGCTCGATGGTCCAGGATGGTCCTCGATGGTTCTCGCCGAGAAAAAATGCACACGTCCGAGCGATGCCAAGAGTTTCTGAAAAAGCGCAGCAACGCTGCTGGCTGACGCGCGCCCGCAGCGTCCAACGGCGGCCTGCAGGCGGGGGCAGGGCCGTGCCGGCTCCCCTTGCCAGCCTGGAACATATCCCTATCCCTAAGCTGGGCATCGCCTCATCACAATGCCAAGCTTAGGGATTCCCTTAGTTTTTCAGGGCGCATCCCTGAGATTGTCATCGCCTTTTGGCAGGTCAATCTTAAGGGTAGGGATCAGTTCGAGGCTGATGATCCTTGGACTCGCCCAGGGCTGCGGTGCAGCCCACCTCCAGGAACAGCAGCGGAAACGTGAGCGATGTCCGCTGGCAGAGGCGGTCAGACGAAGACAGCAAGTAGGGGCGCAAAAAGTGGCATAAACATAACAACTCTGAGGTCTGCGCGAATTTCTCAGATCGGCGCTGGCCCCCCCCCCCCTGGCGCGCGGAGCGCGCCAGGGGCGGCGCCGGAGGCGCCGCCGGGGGGGCCCAAGCGCCGATCCGAGAAATCCGGGCGGACCTCCGAGTTTTTATGTTTATGTCACTTTTTGTTCCCCTAACAAGGGGAGAGGGCCACGATGCTGCCACGAGTCTGGTTCCTGCCGCGTCGACGTGGACGCTGGATTCTATCACCGTGCAGATCGTCCGATCTTGGGGGATCTCCGCTATCCGACAGCGGAGGCCGTTCAAAGTTGGCCTGTTCCAGGTCGCCAATAGTCTTCAACCTTGAAATCCCAGCCAACGTGGCCGCCGCGTCGACGCGGCGTCCGCTGCTACTGCCCGTGCACAGCTGGTAAAAGAGTAAAACAATCTACGTTGTGATTACGGTAGCCTGCAAATGCATGAGCAACACGTGCGACGCCATGACCACAACTGGCCCGGACTGCTGCCAAGCAGAACGCTGGCGGCATCTGCGCCTCATGCTATCCTGTCAGTATTGCCCTTCGCAGCTCATCCCTTCCTCACAACGCTGAAGGGCTATTTGAAGCACGAATCCTGCATCGTGACGATCCTCGCGGCGGTGGCGCTGCGGGGCTTTCCGCAAGCCCCCCAGCGTCGCTGCCGCGCTGCCCACACGACAGCAGGGCGGCCCACACGGCAGCAGGTGGCACGCTTTCAGCGCCCGCGCACCACGAACTGCAGCAACTCCTCCGTGCTGCAGTACCCGTTCCCGGACCTGTCGTTGACCATGGAGGCAAAGCCCCTCAGATCGGCTCCGAATCGCGCGTCCCACCCGTGGCTGGCAGCCAGGTCCCTGTACTCCTCCTCCCACTCCGCAGCGTGCCCCTCGAAGCCACAGAACTCCGCGTACCGGCGCAGGCTTGCGCAGGGCAGCCTGCCGCTGTCGCTGTCGTCCAGAGAGCCGAATGCTGAGACTATCAGCTCCGTTCGGCAGCCGAGGGCCGCGAGCGCCTCGCGCAGCTCGCCCGTGGTGCAGTGGGCCAGGCTCCCTGCGTCGCTGACCATCCGGGCGAAATCCTTTGCCCCCACTCCCGCCTCGGAGTCCCAGCCGTGGGCCAGGCTCAGCGCCTTTCGGGGCGGACGGAGCGGGACTCCGCGAATCAGCCCTCACGTGCGCAGCCGGTCCTCCCCGCGCATCCCCGCGCCAAAGGCGCTCAGGCATCGAGGAAAGCGCCCTCTGGGGCCTACTGACCCGGGTCAGTGGAAACCCGGGTCAGTCGGGCTTTGCAAGATCCTGCGCCCAAGACCGGGTCAGGGCGTCCCTGGCTCTGCAGGGTCCTGCAAGATCCGGCGCCCTGGCCGACCCCGTCTGCATTGACCCCGGTCCCTTGAGTCCCGACGCCCTGCGGCGGGGCCAGAACCAGCTGCACGCTGCAGATTGCGTAACCCCCCCGTTCGCCCGACCCGCGCTTTGTACTGCTCTCTCGGCTTTGTGCCGCCGCCCCCGTCAAAGCCCCGGCGACGCGCCGCGGCGAAGCGGACGAATTCCTCCGCGGCCAGCCGCCCGCTGCCCGACGAGTCCAGCGCGCGGAAGAGGCGCGCGACCAGCACCGGGCGCGACTGGAGCCTGGTCAGCAGTAGCAGGAGATCGGCGTCTGCCAAGTGGCCTTCGCCGTCCTCGTCGTCTACCATCTGGAAGAACTTCCACGGGTCCACGTCCTCGGCCTCGTCCCACCCGCACGCCGCGTACAGCCCCGCCCTGGCCGTTGCCCAGGCCTTGGCGTCGCCGTTGAACCCGGTGAGCCTGGCGTACTTGCGCATCTCCCAGGACCCCAGGACCCCCGAGGAGTTGGTGTCGAGCGCTCCGAAGAGCTGCATCGCCATCTCCGCGCGGTCCCCCAGGAGCGTCAGCAGGAAGTGCAAGTCGTCCTCGGTGCAGTGCAGCCTCCCATCCGCGTCTCCGACGAGGGCCCCGAAGTGCTCGGCGAAGAAGCAAAAACTGCATACGCACAAACTCTCGGAGGTCCGCGCGGATCGCTTGGATCGGCGCTGGGCCCCCCTACTCCCTGGCGCGCGGAGCGCGCCAGCGCTGCCACCGGTGGCCCAGCGCCGACCCGAGCAGCCGAATCTTCGAGAGAACGAACGCGTTTCGTGGACGCCGGCTTGGACAACAGATCCCTGGACAAGTCGCATCCCTGGTTCGACCCCCCCCTTGCATTTCAGGGGGGGCCTCCCTTCCCCCCCCCCTTCGACCCCCCTCCCAGGGGGGCGGGGGGGGGGCCTCTCGCATGCGCTGGAGGTAACTCCAACCATCGGCACTAATTGCAGAACATATCCGCAATCTGATCTTAATGTGGAAGCAATGTTCCTAGATACCCCAAAACCAAGTGGTCGGCTCATGTGCGCACATTTATTCGAGTACACAACATGGCTACCCCAGTTGGAAATACACCCAAAACGCCTTGCGGTGATGCGGACCTCATGATGTGGATGTGGATGGCGGTGTGTGCGTGTGTGTGTGTGTGAGAGAGAGAGAGAGAGAAATGTTTGTGTGGTGTGTGCGGTGTGTGCGACGTGTGTGGTGTCCGCTGTGTGTGTGTGTGTGCGGTGTGTGCAGTGTGTGTGTGTGTGTGTGCTGCGTGTGCAGTGCGTGGTGTGTGTGTGTGTGTATGTGTGCGGCGTGTGCGGTGTGTGCTGCGTGTGCGGTGTGTGCGGTGTGTGCGTTGGTGCCGTGCTGTATGGTACACCCTAGGATGGCGGTGTGTGTGAGGCTTGTGTGATGTGTGAGGTGTGCGCCGTGTGTGGTGTCCGCTGTGTGTGCGGTGTGTACAGCGTGTGTGTGTGCTGCGTGTGCAGTGCGTGGTGTGTGTGTGTGCTGTGTGTGCGGTGTGTGCTGCGTGTGCGGTGTGTGCGGTGTATGCGGTGCTGCCGTGCTGTATGGTGCACCCTGTGATCTACCATACGGCACTACTTCTGATGTACAATATTAAACGACATGTTACTCATTGTTTAATCTAATACCACGTATGGCGTAGCATATGGTCACACGTAAAGGTCAGATGCTACTACTGATGATGTGCCATGTTATGCGACCTATGACGTGCCACCTGATACGGGATATGATGTGTCGTACGACGATACTACTCACCACGCATCGCATGACGTCTCATATGGTATCACCTGTGACGTATCACATGGCATTGTCAACGCAGTGATCTACAGTATTACCTATGCTGTGCCACAGTGTGCTACATCTGATGTAGCGAACGCTACTGCATACGACCAAGCATCTAAGACTTCCCATGCTGCATCACATGGCAAGTCATATGGCATGCCATGCGATACCAACTATGATGTGCCATTTGATGAAACCTATGATGTCCCATACGGTACCACTTACGATGTATACCGTGCATCGCCATATGATGCATCATATGATATCATCTAAATTGTGCCATACGTATTATTAGTGGGGTGGAAGGCTTCAGAAAGAGGGAGAAGAGGGATCGAAGGGCTACGAGAAACACTAAGGGTTGGAAGGACCAGCGGGGTAGGAGGGATAAAGGGGGACGCAGCAGGTTGTTTGAAGGATTTTGGTGTTTCCCCACCACCAGACGACGCAACAAAGCCCCAAGATCGCACCATGACCGTTCAAGAGGCCTCCAAGAGAGCCGCGAAACGGCCCAAGAGTGCCCCAGGACGGTTCTAGAGGCCTCAAAGCCCCCAAGATGGCTCCAAGAGGGGGCCTAAACGAGGGACCCGCAGTGACATTTCGAGCCGTCGGCCCCGAGAGGCCCCCAGCAAGCCCCGAGGGGCGCCCACGAAACCTCCAGCAAGCCCCCAGAAGGCCACAAGAGGCCCCCAGGGAGCCCCCCAAACGCCCCCCAAAGGCCCCCAAACTGCCCTCCAGGGGCCCCCGGGAACGCCGCTGTCATTGGTCGTCCTCCCCCCCTCCCCTCTCCTCCTCCTCCTCCTCCTCCTCCTCCTCTCTCCTCCTCCTCCATTTCTCCTGCTCGTCCTCCTCTCATCCTCCTCCTCCTCCTCCTCCTCCTCCTCCTCCTCCTCCTCCTCCTCCTCCTCCTCCTCCTCCTCCTCCTCCTCCTCCTCTCCTCTCCCCCTCCTCCTCCTCCCCCCCTCCCCTCCTCCTCCTCCTCCTCCTCCTCCTCCTCCTCCTCCTCCTCGTCCTCGTCCTCGTCCTCGTCCTCCTCCTCGTTCTCCTCTCCACCTTCTCCTCGTCCTCTTCCTCCTCGCCCTCCTTCTCCAAATCCTCTGCCTCCGTCTCCTCCTCCTCTCCTCCCCCTTTTGCCTCCTCCTCCATTATCCTCCAGCTGCACCACAACGCCTGCGTACAACACAGCGTACACCGCAGCGCCTGCGTGCACCGCGACGCCTGTGCACGAGGCGTGGAAGCCTCAGATAAGCCTGATGCGAGGGTCGCAAAAGCCTCGCAAAAGCCACGTAGAAGCTTCGTAGAAATCTCGTATAATCCTCGTAGACTCCTCGCAGAAGCCTCTCAGAATCCTTGTAAAATCCTCGTTGCAACCGCGTAGAATCCTCGGAACCCGCGTAGAAGCCTCTCAGAATCCGCGTAAAAACCCCGTATAATCTTCGTGGAAGCCTCGTGGAATCCTTGTGAAAGCCACGTAAAAAATATCCTGGCGAAGGACCCAACCATATGCAGTTGTGAGTATCGCAATTGTAAGCATCTTCTTCGGTGGCGCTCCCTATGGGGCCACGAACCGCATGAGGGGTGTGCCGAAATGTGGCGGGGTACACAACGCAAAGGAATACGATAGATCTGATTACGAGAGAAAGAACGCGGGTGAGTCAGAGCGCGAGGGAATCTGAGTATGAATGGGTCCGCGCGCGAGTGAATATATTTGCATGAATGCGATCATGGAACCGCCTAGTGTAAGTGTCGAGCATGCCTGTCCGAACACACGTGACACTGGTCGTGGCCGCCGCAGGCAGCTTCCGCGGGAACCCCGACGGCAGCGTCCGCACGTCGCGACGCCCATGTCGGCACGCCTCTTGCGAGGATCGCGCCCGCTTTCGGCTCTTCTTTTCCTTCCTCTTTGCCCGCGCACTCCAAAATCCAAGGCTGCGGGCGCAGCGCAGCGCGGAGTCCCCGCGACGCGCGCTGGTCGCCCCGGGCGGGGTCCCAGCGACGCGCGCGGGTCGTCCGTTGCGCGAAGCACAGAGAGCTGACTAGCTAACTGGCTGGCTGATAGCGGGCAAGTCTCTGACCGCTGGGCAGAGCGACGACGGGCGAACGAGGCGCCGGGCCCCCCGCAGCGCGGAGTTCCCGCGACGCGCGCTGGTCGCCCCGAGAGGGTCCCAGCGACGCGCGCGGGTCGTCCGCGGCGCGAGGCCAAACAATTAGTCGGGCAGTCGAGAGAAGGCGCGGCTCGGGGGAGACGCTCCTCAGGTCAGGCCTCGCGGGTGAACTCGGTGAAGCCGAGCTCCCTGGCGAGGGCCGTCGCTTCCCTCCTGCACCGCTTCGTGCGCGCCGCAAACTGCTCCAGCTGCTTCCGCAAGCCCTGCGGCGGCCCTGCCAGGAAGAACTCGATGCGCGGCGCCCGCATGAGCAGGAGGTCCTCGTGGCGCGTGGCGCGCGAGAGCAGCACGTAGAGCTCCAGCCACCAGTCGTCGTCCTCCTTCTTGCCGTTCCCTACCTCGTGGCGGCCGCAATCCAGGATCACGCCTGGGCGACGTCGACCGAGGGAGCAGCGCGCCGGGCAGCCGACGGCCCAGGGCGAGAGTCCACAGGACCGAGAGATGGTCTGGCCGCGGACTGCTCGCGCCCCGGAGGTCTGGCCGCCCCCGGAGCGCCGTTCCCCCGCCCCGTCGCCTTCGCGCATGGTGCGCCCCTGGCACGCCACCGTGGTGATGACCCTGCCGTGCGAGAAATGCGGGGGGGGTGCCGAAATGAGTGGGGGTGACGCATGCGGGCGGCGGCACTGAGGCCTTCGGTGGAGCTCCCTATGGAGCCACGAAGCGTGTGAGGGGTGTGCCGAAATGGGTGTGGGGGACGCATGCGGCCGCGGGCACTGGGGCCTTCGGTGGAGCTCCCTATGGAGCCACGAAACGTGTGAGGGGTGTGCCGAAATGGGTGTGGGGGACGCGTGCGGCCGCGGGCACTGGGGCCTTCGGTGGAGCTCCCTATGGAGCCACGAAACGTGTGAGGGGTGTGCCGAAATGGGTGTGGGGGACGCATGCGGCCGCGGGCACTGGGGCCTTCGGTGGAGCTCCCTATGGAGCCACGAAACGTGTGAGGGGTGTGCCGAAATGGGTGTGGGGGACGCATGCGGGCGCGGGCACTGGGGCCTTCGGTGGAGCTCCCTATGGAGCCACGAAACGTGTGAGGGGTGTGCCGAAATGGGTGTGGGGGACGCATGCGGCCGCGGGCACTGGGGCCTTCGGTGGAGCTCCCTATGGAGCCACGAAACGTGTGAGGGGTGTGCCGAAATGGGTGTGGGGGACGCATGCGGCCGCGGGCACTGGGGCCTTCGGTGGAGCTCCCTATGGAGCCACGAAACGTGTGAGGGGTGTGCCGAAATGGGTGTGGGGGACGCATGCGGCCGCGGGCACTGGGGCCTTCGGTGGAGCTCCCTATGGAGCCACGAAACGTGTGAGGGGTGTGCCGAAATGGGTGTGGGGGACGCATGCGGCCGCGGGCACTGGGGCCTTCGGTGGAGCTCCCTAT